CAGGAGAGGATCCCCGCCATCACGGGGTTCCCACTGGCAGATGTCTTCTTGGCCAGCGCCAGCGCCCGGCCTGGGGGCAGAGGGGGGAGGTTGGGCTGGGGCACCCCAACGGGCATCAACAGGCTCAGCCACCAGCCAGGAGTCCTCTCCCCACCCTGGATGCTAAGGCACAGGCAAAAGCTAGGGCACATGAGCGACTCAAGTGGGCACATGCCAACCTATAAAACACCACCCCACACCAGGAAAGGGGTCCTCTGGTGCTAGGACTGGTCCCCAGCAGGGACAATGTGCTGGGTTGGGCTCTGGTGGGTGTCAGCATGCTCCAGGCACTCACCAAAGAGATCATCCCGGGCCAGGGCATAGAGGATGCGGGACGCCCCGATGAGATTGCTCATGGCCGCAGACAGGGTGGCAGCATAGATCCCTACCGTGACCAAGGGTGGGAAGATACTGATGTCACGCAAGAAGCCGTAGTCTTTCTGCAGGAGGGTCCTGGAGATGGACACACACATACTGGCACCGGGCACGCCCTGGTACCAACAGCCCAGCAAGGAGACGGGTAGCTGTACCTGTTGCAAGTGGCACACATGAGGAAAGCCAGCAGATTGTAGACGAGGTAGGTGAAGAGCACAGCAGAGATGGTGCCCCGCGGGATGGAGTAGCTCGGGCGCTTCAGGTCCCCTGCAGGAAGGAGCGGGCAGCATTAGTGCTCACAGGCACGGCACTTCTCTGATCTTCAGCCTTGACTCACTCCCGGTGTCACCCAGCCCAGCACCCCCTGCCCATACCTGACATGTTGGAGCCTGCCATGATGCCGGTGCAGCCATTGAACATCACTGCGAAGACAGAGCTGAAACTCATCATCTGCCCGGTGGTGTAGTCCACCCCGTAGCCACCTGCAGGACACATGGGCACAAGCTGTGACGGGCTGCGTGACACCCTCTCCTCAGTGTCTCCATACCCAAACCATGGGAGAAACCACACCACGGCACCTGTTTTGTGCCCACCCTTCGGTGAGCCCCTGCCGAGGTGGAGGTGCCAGTGTCACCGCTCCCTGGGGCGCAAGTGCCATGGTGGGTATGGTGGACAGGAGAGCCGCTCCTCACCGCCCAGGTTGTCTCGCAGGGTGGTGAGTGAGAAGCCGGTGAAGGAGCCATTCTCAGTCTCGGAGCCGTTGAGCTGGGACAGGTGGATGGGCACCCCAATGGGCCGTGTGGCAAAGAAGCTGACGAGGATGGTGCCCAGCACACCAGCGACGATGAGAAAGATGAGGAAGGTGGCTTTGGCATAGATGGAGGCACCCACGAGGCATACGAGGAGGCAGAGGGCCAGCAGCACCGTGCCGTAGAGCAGCTCATACCAGTAGCTCTGGGGCAGGACGTGGACACCTGTGCCTGCTTTTTGCCCTGGGCAGAGACAAGCCAGAATCAGTGGGGCTCGGAGGCAGCATCACCGGGAGCTGAGAGCCACTGGGCATGACAGACACCAACCCACCGGCCGGAGGGCTGCGTGAGCCACGCTGGCTATACCAGGCACGGTGCTTGGCATGCCTGGCTAGGGCTACTCAGGTAAGGGACACTCGCTGTCCCCTGCCACCACACACAGGGAGTACTCACCAGGTGGGATCCCAAAGCTGTCCACCACTGCCTCCACCAGCCCCAGCACATAGAGGGCACTGCCACACACGTTGGCCAGGAAAAACATGATCCCAATGCTGCCCCCGAACTCCGGGCCCAGGGCACGGCTGATCATATCTTGCTCGAGTCAAGGGAAGATGTCAGCAGCCCAAAGCACCATCAGGTGCCCCCACTCTTCCCTCCCAGGCCAAGATGGTCTCAGCCCCAGCATGGCACCCTGAGGCTGCTAGGCAGTCACCCAATCTTGGCCCGCGTGCCCTGCCCTGGCAGCACCCACAGCAAAGGATACAATAGGCTCCTCCAGCATCCAGTGCCCCGTTGGTGGCGATGGCACACACAGACAGCACCGTCATGCCGATGATGAAGTACGCCACCGCAAACATGGCCAGGGCTTGGTACAACCCAGCATGGCCCACCACAAACCCTGAGAAGGATGAGGGACAGGCCAGTGTGTCCATTAGCTGGGCACAGACCACCCCACTGACCAGGTCCCCAGGCACAGCCACAGCTCAGAGCTCATCCCCACTGAGGCAGATGGGCTGCACCCGTCCCCCTGCCCACAGCTCTCCCCAGATATGCCACCCCTTTCCCTGCCAGGGTCGGGACTTCCCCACCCCACGGTGCTGCCACCTCCCACCTGCAGCAGCATCCAGGGCCAGGCCAGCCAGTGCTCCCCACCTCAGGGCACCTCCATCCTCCTGCCATGCCAGGATCAGGCCCGGGCGCACCCTGGGCATGGGCTGCTCAGAGGAGCACACCCAAAAAGCAAACAAACAGGGCAGGAACTCTGCTGCCCACCCAGCCCCAGGGCACTGCGTGAAGGGTGTCGGGACCCCTGTGTCCTGCTGCCACCCTCAGCAGGCAGGGGGTACCCTGCACCCCAGCTGGGGCACCAGGAGCTGATGGACTCCCTGGGGTGGGGGGGCAGTTCTCGTTGCAGCCCTGCTCATCCACTGCAAAGCAGGAAGCAAAAGCAGCCGCAGGGCATCCCCACCAGCTGGGGCACCATTCCCCTACACACACCTTGCCCCCG